GGCGCTGGAACTTGCTTGGTTGCCGAGTTGAAATACCCGAACAGACGAACACACACACACACAGACGGGGTCGTCTCAATATGCGTTTTTGCAATTTGCATATAGGCAGAAACGCATAACAAACTACATAATTTGATGACAGAACGCACTATTAAATCAAAGCTTTCGCTTTCTGCCCACAGGAATGATGCAAAATGAATGAATGATGTGGAATCGGGTCCTTAAATTCATTAAGCTCTTAACCCCAACAGCATTTTCAGACTGCTTCTGAACGAGCAACCTGGAAGAGTCTTAAACTTTTGTGCTTTAAATGCTAACTTTTAATCTTAACTTTTCTTAACTTTTAGTCTTAACTTTTCTGAAGTCTTAACATTTAAAGTCTTAACTTTAAATACTTTATCTTTACCGTTTGTGCTTTAAATGAGGTACAGTCAACGCATCCACTAAAAGTTTGTGTACAAAATAATATGTCGCAAAACGTACGGTATTGCTAACTTCCCGATGTATCTACTAATTGTGCGTTTTCGCTGTGGGCAAAAACGCATATTGTCAAGAGGTTGTCCGTATGTGTGTATGTTCGGAAGCGAGTGAAATTTGTTACCCACTTTCAACTCATAAAGTAGAAAAGCTGGGGGGCTGATATTTGGAGGCATATTTCCATCCGATGTGTCATCCTCTTCGCTCATACGAGCCTAAACGGACTCCCGAAAAAATGTGTAAATTTCCTTGGCAGGGAGTGATATCGTGATCCAAACAAGATAGAAAGCTGAAACTTTGTAGGGGTGTGCGGTCACATCAAACATCGCAATAGGCACTGCACCAACTCGGGAACTAACACCGGAAACAGTAGCTGAAAGGCCTAAATTGAGTTTCAATTTGCACGTGCGCCACAACTTAGGGCACTTCAAAGATAATGGTGGCGAAGTGACTATCTCACTAACCAGACAAGTTACAAAACAGAAATTTTGCAAGCTTATTCTATATTCACGCGTGGTCTTAATTCAGCTTGGGGTGAAATTACCCGCACACAGTCTTGGTAAATACTCAGCTTTATAGCAAACTCAAAAGCGAGTGCACTTTGCGGATTTCGCATTCCTCTTCCGATTTTCTTCCGATGTATTTTTTCAATGAAGAGCATTCACCGCAAAAACGCCCGTCTTCATGCAAATCATTGGCGACGAACACCTGGCGGGTCCTTGCGATCATGCGTTTTTGCAGTATTTCGTGCTTTTGTATGATCGCTTATGGCGTACTGGTCCTCGAAGTTTAGGAAAGTAATTGTGTGGTTGCAAGGTACTTGGTCAGGGAACATCCCCTTAAAAAAAAAATTTTAGCTTTTAGTCTTTTCTAGTCCTCGAGTTAGAAATTTTCTCGTCAAAAATTTT